ATTTGCCCCCCCCCCCCCTTGCCCCCCCCTGGCGCCGCCACTGTTGGAGACTGGCATGCTGGTGTCAAATTGTTGAGTGTAAGTGCTTCTAATGTTGCAAATGTTTCCATTTGGAGCTGACTAAGATGTTCTGACAGTCTCATTTAGTTAATCTCCTACATATGAAGGACAAATACATTAGTTTGAATAATTAACTTATAGTTTATACTATTTATCTTTTAGCTCATTTTTGCTAGATTCTTCTCTGGGAAATCCAGCAATGACATTTCCACCATGTTTGCAGATCGCACTGTCATAAATCGCCGCAATGTTACTGCGGATGTATCATAATCATACAAACCAAACAGGGACTTTCTTATGATTGTGTTCCAGTCTAGAGTTTATGGCAGTGTTAGGAATGGAAAGCAAAGCATCTTTACCAACAAAGATCGATTTTCCACCAAACTTGAAGGAATTGTCAAAGTCAGAAAAACTGAAGTATTTACATGAACTATCAGCTAAAGTTGTAGATACATTTGTTTTTAAGACCAACTCCTCAATTAATTATGTTATTGGTAGTGTCCTGACACAAGAAGAGAGAGACGCATTGCAACAGCAGCAATTGACACCAGATGGTCGATTCCCCTGTCGATTTTCAGGATGCGACAAATCCTTTAAATACAATGGCATGAGTCGAAAGAAACATGGGGCATCACATAACCCTCCTGTAATGGCAGAAGAACCTGCAATCTCTGTAAGCCTATGCAAACCACCACCTCCATCTGGAGAATCAAAAGAACCAGATGATGCATACAACTACAACTGTGCTCTTCTTGCTGATAGTTATTTGTTTTTCAATTTCCTTGATGCCATTAAGGAGGGTGATGGGGCGCGGCTAATGAGGCAGTACAAGTATTTTATGCTTTTTTGCAAAGCAGACGGATGCCATAGCACGAAATATGCGCTAGAATGCCTTTATCAGTTCTTTCTCATCCATGGAGAGTTGTCACAGAGAGACAGTGAGCGATTCATTTGGAAAAGGTCAATCAACAATCATGGAAAGAAAGGTTACAACATCCCACTCGATGAAGCAACCGAGCATAGTAATAACTTTGTAAAGCAAGGTATTAAAAACCTTGGCCCAAACATCAGCGAGGCAGCTGTTGCACGCATATGCAAATGTGAAAGCGCTACAAGATCCATTCTTGACAATTTGGATGAGTCCATATCACGACATAAGCATAGCGGTAAACACTCCAAGCCATCTTCTTCCATGGATCTACAAGAATTGGTAACAAAGGCATTCAACTTTAATATACTTAAAGAACAACCAGGCAGAAAGTATCATCATTTTAAAGACTTTCAGGTGGATCGCCTGAGTGATCTTGATTCAAATGACTTGTATAGTTGGATCAGCAAACACAAAAAGAATGTTGCTCTTGGTGTAAAGGCGAGGTGACTCTTATAAAACATTATTTCTCTGTTACGCCTGTTTGGTAAGGTTTCTTTCTAACCAACTAATGGTATATACTGGGCCACCAAGATCTTTTACGGGGCCCAGGGCACATTTGTTTCAGGGGCCACCTCATTCTCGTACCAAGAGCCCTTCTTACTTGCGGTCAACGGAGCGCGACGAGGGGCTCTGGTCAAATCCATATCAAACTGGCATCTGATTGGCTACAACGAAGGTTATTGTTCTAATACTGGATATATTCTTTTACCATGTTGTCATGGTATCCGGTTTTGGATTTGGCCAGAGCCCCTCGTCGCGCTGCACATAAGAAGGGCTCTGGGTACGAGAATGGGGCCACCTATTCCCAACGTTTTAATTGCTCTTGTGGCACTTTCCACAACCTTTTCCATACCAAATTTCAGTAGTTTGCCTGAAAACACTGTATTTCGTCTGAAAAACAGAAATATTTCACCCGAAAAAAAATACTGGGGCTCCATAAAAAATAACTTGGGGCCCCCAGAGACCCATGGCCCGGGTAAATTCTGCCCCCTCTCTCGGAGGGCCTGAGTATACAGCAGGCTTGTTATGTGAGAAGAACCGGGTTTCTTAGAAAGACTTTCAAATTTGAACTGTTATTATATATTAATTATAACTTGTTTTGAAATTGATTGAGATCACATACAGGTACTAAACATGCATGTATATAACTAGAGCAGACTGCATACACATAGTATTTCCAGGAACTGTAAATATGCTTAGTTGATGTAAACACATTTCTAAGAATAGTGTGCATGAAATAAATAAAGTTAGGATATACTTACCCATGAATGCAGTTATTTTATTTAATAGATAATGAAATTCCACAAAGAAGTAGACAGTTATATATTGCATTATTTGGTTACATTGTAAAATATCAAGGGAAAGACCAATTTGTACAACTAAAGTTCAGTTTTACTTTAACACAGATACAATGATTTCTTCATCTTGAGAGTCTGAAGACATGTCATGCTCATCTATTAATGAGTCCTGTAATTGTGAAAGTGACAAATTTTCTACAATCATATCAAACATGTCATTATCTTGAAGAATTTCTTGCCAATCATCAAGTAGTTCGTCATCAAACTCGTACATATCCAAAACTGATTCACCTCTTGAATCATGCAAATGCTCATCTACCTATTGGTCACCAAATACACTGTTGATAATGTTTAATATCTTTTCAGCATGTCCCTTGTCCCAAATTTCGACAGCACTACAAACATCAGACATGGTAAAAATCTGATCAATGTTATTCAAAACTTGAGTTATCTGATGTTCAGAAAACCCTAACATGAGTCGAATGTTTGTTAAAGTTTTGATTTCTGTTTTTGCAGTTTTTTAGCAAGTTCAATAAGAAGTTTCTTCTGGTATTGTATCAGAGCATTCTCAATCAACTTCTGTTCATTGCTAACGTCTCGTTTACTCCCACTAAACAGTACATCCTTGTAACAATCAGTGATTGGGTATTTTGTATACTGCCCACAGTCTGCTTGTCCACATTCACAAATAGATGCACAGTTGTCACAACAAAGATGCAGATAAAGTGGCAATTTACAATCAGCTTCAAAATGATCCAGAAGAGTTTTTCTCCTGCAATCTTTAGTTTTGACAAATGATTTTATGTTCATGTCAACATGATTTAGAAGAATTCCATGATATAAAATGAATGTACTGCTCTGCACCCCCATCTCTTCCAGCACGTCCAGTCTCCTGTACATATGCTTCAATGGTTTTTTATGGTCCATAATGTATGACACGATGTACTGCCTTACAGTCAACACCCATGCCGAAAGCAATAGTTGCAACTAAAATTCGAATTGTTCCATTTTCATTTTGAAAAGATTCAAGGATACATTTTTTGTTATCCTCCGGGGTGCAGAAGTGAAGCATTTCCATAAGAACATTCTTGTCTTCTCTGGCAAACATATAGTTCCCCAAAATTTCCTTAAGGGTGGCATATATAATAGAACATTGCTTGATTGTTTGGCAGTATATAATAGTCCTTTCACATTGCTTTTCTTTAGACTTTAACTCATCAGCTAGCCAAGTAAAATAAAACTCCAACTCTGTGTCCTTGTGCATACACTCCACAGCATATGATACATTCAGCTTATTTGGACTCTCTTCAATTTTAAAACAGTCATCCATGCACAGAATACTCAATATGCATTCTTTAGTCAGATGTGTTGCTGTAGCTGTAAGGGCAATCACTGGAACATTTGGTGCTAATGACCTGAGTTCATATAACTTGCTGTATGTTTCACGGAATGCAGCCTTTTTGTTATCTTGTGATATCCCCCTGGGAAGGGAAAGTATAAAAAAAAATTAAACCACTTCTATTTCTAGTCATGCATCAATACATTACTTATTAAGGTTATTAATAGTTCAACTACCATAAATTGATGATATAAATATTGATCCCAACACCTACCTGAAGTGTTAAGGATTAACACATTGTTTGGAAACTGTCATTTAGGCATAGGGAACATTCATTTAGTATGTTGTCTATGTATGCAATGTAGTATTAAATTATGCCCACTGCATATGTAGTAAATGACGTCCACAAGGTTTAATAATTGACTGCTGTACTTATAATATACGGTATTTAAATTGTATGTTTTTACAACAAGGCAGGGAAATTCAAATTCATTGTCATATTTGAGTCGTATATAAATAATATATTATATAAATTACATAATCAAACATAAAATTATTATACTAAACCGAATCAAACATGTATTTACCATATTTTAGAACATTTTCTGATTTTCACTATGAATCGCTAAAATTAGTTAGCTTTTAATATATCGTTTAAAATTATAAATTTTAACTAAACTCACCACTGTCTGATAACATGGGCCTCGTCGACTGCTAGAGCACATAATCTTGTCGAGTAAACTTTACTATTAAGCATATTTCTCCATCGAGGGTTCAGTATCCACGCTTCTGGCGTGCCATAAACGATAGAATATTCACCAGCTTCGACACCATCGCAATCTTCTTCCATGCACGAGCTTATATTAACCGCGCTTACTCCCAGACTTGTAAGGTGTTCTACTTGATCATCCATAAGACTTAACAACGGGGAGACAACTGCCACAATATGACCTGGGTATCTGTACACCTCGTCTATTACAAACGGAAGTGCCTGGTACATGAGCGATTTTCCAAAGCCAGTGGGCAAATTTACAAACACGTCTTTCTTTTCAATAATTACTGTTCGAATCGCTGTTTTCTGATGCGGATTAAGGCAGCGAATGTTGAATTTGTGAGCAGCAATATCGAATGTTTTTTCCAGAGAAGCCATATTGTTCAGTGATTTTCGGCTCAGAATACGTCTGAAACATTGATTGTGATTGGCTCTGTAATATGGCGGCAAAATGTTCCGAAATATGGAACCTTGATTGTCATTGGCTAAGCAGGCAGAAAGGAATGTTGTTCGAAAGCTAGCAGCCTGTGAGTGGGAATACCCGCGAACAGGCTACGAGGGAGACTAATTTAATGCCAGCACAAGAAAAAAAAAATGCTCTGTATTTGTGTTATTTGTTGGCTAACAACGTTTAGGAAATACAAGGTTTTAGAAAGACAAAAACCAAAGCAACCACGAATGATAAGCAAAGTCAAAAACAAACTATCAGTAATATATCCAGCAGATATAACTTAAGTGTATTTTAAAGAAACCAGAATTCGAACGAGATATTTTCGCGCCAAAACCGGTCAACATTTAAAGCCTGTCGGTCATACTGATTTCGAAAACAACCGATCAAATACTATCAAATTCAACATCTCAAAAGAAAAAGATCTGAGGTTTAAGAGTAAAATTAATACGAAATCGAGGTAGAAAGATATCGCCAAAATAGGCACAGACAAAAATAATTTGCCAAACGATCATAAATAAGCACACTCACTTCATAACAGGGCGACAGACGTTGCGAAGAGAATGCTTTGCTCGAAAATGTGCTCACCCCTTCGATCGATATGAAGTGCATTTTCTCGGCAATCATTGCAACGATTTCTCTCATTTCTTACACAAATATCGTTAAAACAAACCTCGTCAAAATTACTTTGTTGAAATTGCGATTTGCAATACGTAAACAAGTGTAAATTAGTAAATTGTGCCACCCCAAAGAATCGTGGCCTCATGGCCGCCATTTCAACAAAAATGAAGAAGATATTCAACTACCAGCATGCATTGCGGCCCGATTTGCTATAAGGTTAAAGGACCATTGCCACTCTTCATGAAAATATCAAATTCTCTTGACAGATAAGCAGCGTAAAGAATCTGGAATCTCGTTTAAATAAGTTTTTGGACAAGAAGAAATTCCCTGAAGGTTTTCAAGATACTAAAACTGTAAGATTTTCTTTGATAAACGTCTGTGAGATTTTCTTTGATAAACACTATATTCTCCATACCGTATTGAGCCCCATCAACCGCGAATGCTTCCTCTCGTTAGCCTGCGCGTAGACTCATGACATCGATCAAGACTACGCGCAGACCTATATCTCGCTCTTGTAGTCGCATTTCTGAATATATTATATTATATTGTAAACTTTAGGTGGCCGGACATTTTGCCGAAAGACACTTTGCCGAAAGACATTTTGCCGAACGATTTACGTTACCGTCAATTTTGTGATTACAGAAACTTTGATAGTGAAGTATAGTTTCGTTTTATATTCTTTCAAGTTTTTGAGAAGTTTACCGAAATTTCGCAATATAAAGAATAACATCATGTCATCATTCAACATAATTGATGAATGCGATTTCCCCGAATTGAAAACTGTGAATGTATTCCATGATTCTCGAACTGAAATTCGCTTACGTCGTTGTCTTCGTATACGCTTGTTTGTTTACGACCTGACGTCAAAATACGTTCCTAACAAATGAGTCATCCGTTGCACAAACAAGCTACCAATAGTCAATATGGTTATGTACTGCTAACGACCCATTATGCACTGCTAATGACCATATAGTGCTTATTTTACACAATGTGTAACACAATGGTTGGGAATTACAAAGTTGAGAAATGAGGCACAGTCCCAAACATTTTGACGAAATAGCATCTCTATTTTCGGCAAGTTGTCCTTTCGGCAAACTGTCCATTCGGCAAAATGTACATTCGGCAAAACGTCCGTTCGGCAAAACGTCCGTCGGCAAAATGTCCGTTTGGCAAAATGTCCGTTCGGCAAAATGTCTTTCGGCAAAGTGTCTTTTTTGGCAAAATGTCCAGGTACCAAACTTTATTGGACTGTAAAACCAACCACGTATACAGGGCTTCTGCGCTTATTGCTCTCAGAAGCCCTGGGATAATCCAAACCAGAACAGTCTCGTTCCGCGAGCCTGCGATCCTTGGGGAGGCTACGAAGGTCCCGTTTACACTATACCCAGTATACCGGATTGCATCGTAGCGACGCGATTTCTGTACCGGATTGGGCTGTTGTTTACCATGGCCAGAAATGGAGTCCAACATGGCTGCCAAGCATGCGCATTTTGACTCAAAATAAAAATTCAAAATGGCGTCTTCTTATATAATTTGAATGGGAATAATGCAAAATTTGTATTTTTGATAACTTACGGTTGAGAAATCCGAAATGTGCATATCTAAAACTTCACCGATTCTGTCCAACTTTTATCCGTAAAAAAATTGGTAACACTCGAGTTGTCTAAGTATGTTCCCGAGCAATCAATATCTCTGCCTAGTCTCTGCATAGGAAAGTATGTGATTTCGACATATTCGGTATTTTGCAGGTCCAATTTCAACTCGTTCTTTACAGATATCGTCAAATGTGCATATCTGAATTGCTTCGTACAGTATTCCTCTTTATTATTGTCACTTGTGTGAAGCGTAAAAGTATACACTAGTATGTTCCCCAAAGCGATGAATTGCATGTATTTTGTAGAGAGGTGTCTGTCCAATTGTGATGAGAAATGCACCATATTTTGCACAAAAATATCACAACTTTCGTACCAAGAGTTATATTTGTTGTCCGCCATTGCTTTTATAAAGCTGTTGCTACGTTACAATGGTTTTAACCGCTGTCAATATAGGCTGTAGTCTCGTAAACATTCTAAAATTCGCGGGATTTCGTAATAATTTTGATTTGCCGACTTCAAAACATTTATAACTATTGAGTATTGGCAGACTTTTGAAATTTGAGGATCGATCAAGACTCGGTTGGCGTAAAGTTTGTTATATTTTATAATTTTGTTTGTTTTCTATATATCTGGTTGTATTTGCAATGTCGGATATTCCGCCTTTGCGCCCTATGTATACTTGTTTGCAATGGAAATTATGTGTTGAAAGCCATTCATTAGCTTATCTCTTCTTATTTTCAATTTATAAATCTGCCGTGCTCAGATTATTTAGTTCTCGGTAAAATTCACTGAGCTATACTAGTAAAAATAAACAGCCATTTTGCCAAAACTGAACCACTGATCTGTACAGTGTATTGCATTATCAAGAAAACATGAGCCCGCGCGCCCGACCGCTTGATGTCCTCCATTTCTGGCCATGAAACCTTACAAAAACCCGATGACCATGCACCATTATACATATAGCCGACATTCTCTCAAACCACGTACCCACCTCGCATCAGATCCATTCACAACTATTGAACATCGTGTTTTCATGACTCGCACTCATGTCATGCAAACACGAGATGTATGAATAGTTGTTCCATACCACCGTGAATGTCGCAGAAGTTATCATGGTGATGGATACAATTTCACATGTATAAAATGTCCTAATAGGATAAAACTTATACAAAATCGCGAATAAACAACGTGCTCGATATATAAGTTTCCGAAAACCATCGAAATTTTTCTCATTTTAGACATAGTTGAATGTTCTGAACCGACCAGCAACGATTGTGATTTGAACGCGAATTGTATCAACACCAATGGTTCCTACAACTGTGCTTGTCTCACTGGTTATGCAGGAAATGGTAAAGAATGCTCAGGTAAACAACCATGTATACGTATGGCTAAATCAATACTTTCAATTATGTATTGTTGGTGGCGGTGTTCCTGTGGAGGTCGTTGTTATTGCGTTTCGTTTTCGCTATTGTTTTTTTTCCTGCTATTGCCACCATGCATCTGCTGTCGCTTTTTGATTTGTTGTCATTCATATTGTTATTTGTGGTAGCTGATTTGTTGTTTGTTGATATTTATAGTGTACTTATCGAAAACAATGAACAGTATTTCGCAAAGTGATTTGTTTTTAACAAACTTGAGAAATTTTATAGCAAGGGATTTGTGCAAGAGTAAAGAATATGTGGAAATATATTCCTGTTGCTTGATGAGAGGGAACTTGAAAATTTAACAATTATACCATGTGCTCGAATCGTACGATGGGCTGAAAGCTAGAAATATTAGACCTAGAATGCGTGCTATTTCACGTGACAGGTGTCCAAATTGAAAACAAAAATGCCCTTATAAATCCGCCATGTTGAATTTGAGCATTGGAGTGCCAACTACAAAGTATAAATGTTTCTGTCCTTATGACAGCATCCAGTTAAAAATAGAGATCAGGAATGCGACCGCAAAAGACAAGGACCGTGGACGCAAAAAACGTAGGACGAACGTTTTATTGTCGTATCGAAAGATTGTTTTGTGAATTCCGTTAAATATTATGTAAATTTCTTGTTAAAATACACGAAAAAACTGAAAGCTATTTGTTCCACGTAAAATCGTCTTGACTTTTCTCTCATTTGAGAAACATTTGGTCCTTTGGAGCCGGATCTAGAGTGGAGAAATAGCGATATTTCACCACGAATTTGACTCAAAAAATTTGACTATTAAATGGCGACAAACGAAAACATTCTTCGAGAACGAAAGAAATTGGGGAAAGGAAGACTTACGAAAGCGAGAACTCAACTAAAAAGCTTGCTGAACACTCAATTATACGGACAGTTAACGAGTTAAGGCCGGATTCCACGAGGCGGAATTTTTCGACCGAAGCGAAATTTCTCTTTGTGTTTTTACAATTAGTTCTGACAAAGAGAAATTTCGATTCGGTCGAAAAATTTCGCCTAGTGGAAAACCGCCTTAAGAATACTATTCGACGAGCTATT